AGAAGAAGAAGAAGTTAATGAGAACTTTGAGATGGAAGATTAACTTAAGGATTTAAACAATGACAACAACAAATGTCAAGGTTAGAGGATCCATTAATGGTATGTCAAACAAGTATAGTATAAACATTTATTATTCAATTGGAAACCACACACAAAGGAGGTTCCAATCAGATTATAAATTGTTAACATGATTACATTAGTTATCTTATTCGATTAATACTAATAAGTGTATATCTCGTCAAGCATTCAAGATTATAACTTATGTTAACAACAAATCAAGTTCCTTTTATAGCTCAGGTGTCGGTTATACCATACAGTATGGGATATGAAAGTGCCAAGCATTTATTATACCAAGTGTTATATAACATAAATCTAGATTAGTCATTTAACAAGCAAATTATTAAAGAGTGAACAAGATAACAAATATAAAACATGTTTGTATCAAACATTAAAGTCCATATTAAGTTTACATTATACTTATTCTTACACCATCAGTATAACCTTTTCACCTTGACATAATAAACTTAACTAAACATAATGAAATAAATAAATAAATAAATAAGAACATAAATAAGATAAAAGTTAAATAAGTAAAGGAAAGGAATTGAAAGGCATAAATAAGATATTAATAAAAACAAAATTTAAACATTACAAAAATACAAAGAGAGAAAGCAAGGGCATGATCTTGATCTGGAGCCCAAGATGCCTAAATGCATGGGAAATGACTCTTTTTATAAGCCAAAATTAGAAACTATTGATTTGATGACTAATTGATAAGTAGGTGGTCAACTCTTAACTTGGTGACAATCCTTATCTTCTCTGACGTTATCAATGATGTTTTATTATAATAAGAGAAGATAAGGATTGCCACCAAGTCAAGAGTTGACCACCCACTCATCAATCAGTCATCAAATCAATAGTTCTCAATTTTAGCTTATAAAAGGAGGCATTTGCCATGCATTTAGGCATGTTGGTTTCCAGATCAAGATCATGCTCTTGCTTTCTCTCTTTATATTTTTGTAATGCTTAAGTTTTGCTTTCATTAATATGTTGTTTATGCCTTTCAATTTCTTTTCTTTACTTAGTTAAATTTTATCTTATTTATATTCTTATCTTATTTATTTATGTTTAGCCAAGTTTATTATGTCAAGGTGAAAATATTACATTAATAGAATAAGTATAGTGTAAACTTAACATGGATTTTAATGTTTGATACTAACATGTTTTGTATTTGTTATCTTGTTCACTCTTAATACTTTGCTTGTTAAATGGTTAATCTAGATTTATGTTGTATAACACTTGGTACAACAAATGCTTTACACTTTTATAACCTAACCGTATGGTGTAATCAACACTTGTGCTATGAAAGGAACTTGATTTATTGTTAAGATAAGTTACAATTATGAATACCTGACAAAATTTACAAGTATTAACATTATTCAAATACGATAACTAATGTAATCATATTAACCATTTATAATTTGATTGGAACCTCCTTTGTGTGTAGTTTCCAGTTGATTAATAAGATTTATACTATACTTGTTTGAAATACTATTAGTGGATCCTCTAATCTTGACATTTGTTTTTATCATTGTTTGATCCTCACATTGATCTTCCATCTCAAAGTTCTTATCAATTTCTTCTTCTTCTTCTTCTTCTTCTTCTTCTTTATTATTACTATTACTATTACTATTACTATTACTATTACTATTACTACTACTATTATTATTAGTATTAATACTATTATTATTGTTGTTGTTGTTGTTGTATTATTATTGTTAATAATTTATACAATTAACCTCCCTGTGGTTTGATCCCAATTTTGCTGAGTTATTTATTACTTCAATATTCTTGTACTTGGGAGAAGATATTAATCTTTTGGTCGTGTCAAACATTAATCCTAGTTACAAGATCTGATATAAATTATTTTCTCATATTACATTGATTTCTCAAGCTACCATCCTTTAATGAAGACTAAGGAAAGGATTTTCAATGTAATCTTGCAGTAATAAAAAATTTAAGACAAAAGTCAAAAAATCAAACTTAAGAAAAAAATCACTTTATAATTTTATTTTAAAAAAATATCATGTTAATATTAAAAAATATATTTTTTAAATATATAAAAGTATTTATTTCAAATCTTTGGGAAAAAAGGAATTTTTTTTTCAAAAACATAAAAATGGGCTTGAATAACTAAGCGCCCACCCCATTAAGAGATATGAGCCTTACCCACAATCATGCAAAGCTAGGCCCGCGTGCTCAGATCTTTTCTAATTTTTTTTAACTAATGGGGTGAATAACATATTATCTATTTATTTTTTTTATTAAGCAAGCAACAAGTCATTTGTGGTGGCAAGTCCATAATTTGCATGCCATTGTGATGCTTGAAAAATTAAGGAGGTTCTGTCTTAAAATTTATTTTTCAATCAATTTTCACCCTTAAACATTATAGAAATCTATATAAACAACCAAATAACACCAAAGCACTACAAAATCACTCGCAAAAAATAAAAATAAAAATAAAAAATAATTTGACTGTTTGATTAGATTTAAATTTTTGTAGAAGGTTCTCAAGAACCAATTCCATAAAGAGCTAATTTCATTGATCATATGCCATTTGGACCTCTCGAAATTAGACTTAAAAAAAATCATGTTTGAGCCAATTTTATTATTTTATCTTGATTGTTTTTGAATTTATTGTTTTGTTTTGGATATTATGTAATTTTTCTTGCTTCCTGAGGCAGGCTTTCTAACTTATTCAAGGAACTTGTAAACCTTTTTGAGAGGCAAACATTGTTGAACTTATTTTCAAAGAATAAAGTTGTGAATTTAAGATTAATATCTGCAACACTTTTTACTCATAAAAAATCTGTCTTCTGTGATTGTTTATTATCTTTCTAGCTTCCTGTTGCATTATTTTTCTTTTCCGCATCTAAGAGATTGAAAAATAAACAAGGTGGACTTTTGGTCAAAATAAAAAAATCTTGAGAATGACCAAGAATCTTCGGTGTTGTATATTTTGGTTCTCTCACTCCCAATGTTGTCTTTCTAGTTGAATTAAATACTTTATCTATAGAATTAGATAAAAAAAATTAATGACAGGGTTAGGGAAAAAAAAAAAGAAAAAGAAAAGAAGAAAGAGAGAGGGAGTGGAAAAGACCATACAAGGCAACTTCGTTGAGTGATGAAGGTAATGTAGCCTTTAAATGAAATGCGCACATGGATGAAAAGAAGGCAAAACAACAAAATGGATTTGCTTTTGTGTGTATACAGTCGGAAAAGTCTCTTTCCAGGACTTCTTCAAGTAAATAAAATAAGAACAACATGAGGTATGGATTTTACACAAAATCTATAATAATAATAATAAAAAATAAAATCAGCTGGCTAAAAAGAAATAAATATTTTGATAATTCTGTGCTTTCAATAACCTATAAGATAACCTCACACATCTTGATGCTTTCTGAATGTAATGCGCAAATCATAACTTTTGTCGAATTTTTATTTATTTATTTATGAAAATATACTGTTCTTATAAAAAGAAAAAGTTAAATAATAAAAAGATGAGATCTGAAATAAAAAAAAAAAACCCCTCGAACCGCCATACGAAAAGAGAAAAGAAGGAAAGCAGAACAGCCAAAAGACTCGTCTTTTCCGGTGGGACCCACCACCACCATGAGTTAAAACACGAAACAGATCTCTCTCATCTCGCCTCCACCTTAACTTTTTTTCCCACACGAATACCAAACAAAGCCGAAAATCATAAACCCTCACTCCTCCTCCTCCTCCTCCTCTACCCCCATACACACTCTCTTAAACCCCTCTCTCTCTGTACCATCTATTCATTTCACTTCACACAAAACAGAAGAAAACGCAGACACATCGAACAGATTAGAAACGAAACGCAGCCGTACTTACTAGCCCAGAACAACGGTAGTGAGCGACAGGCCGATGAAGCGAGCCAGGAGAAATAACAGGGTGACTGCAAATCTCTACGACATCCTCTCTTTTCCGTCTGCCGACGACTCCGTCTCCCCCGCTGTTCCCTTCAGGGACAACATCAAGGCGTTTTTGTCACGTCACGCGCGGGTCACCTTCCCCCCTTCACTGTTTCCCTCCTTGTTGACGTGGCAGATCTTGTTTCGCATAGGAGATCTGGAGCTCGACGGTCCGGATATCTCATCTGTCGTTCTGGCTCTCGATATTGTCGAGGAGGACGTTACCAGATCTTCTAGATCCGTGTATTGCAACCAGTGCCGAGTCGTCGGTGAGTCGGCTCACCACCCACCCGAGTCAGCAATGACGTCACATATAATTTATAATAAAATAAAAGAATAAACCCCATGCTGACTCAGATTTTACGTTGGGGATAATAATAATTTGAACTATTACTTGAAAGTTTGGATTCTAAAAAATGATTAAATAAATAAAGCAGACGGCTTTAAGTATCCTTAAGCATGATAAATTCTTATTTATTTGTCTTTTATTTTCCCAAAGGCTGGGGTGGACATCCCGTGTGCAAGAAACGGTACCATTTTATCATAAGAGCTAACAACAGCAGCCCTGCTGATGGATATCAGAGATCATGCAACAGATGCGGCAATCGGTGGTCGCACATATCATCTGAATCCAGGTAAAATTCACAAATGGGTATCCTCATCTCTTTATTGTGTGATCTTGAGATTGAAGCTGTTTTTGTGGTGGATGTAGGTGCAAGGGGTGTGACACCGTGATTACCACAGATGATATTGAAGATTGGGTGTATTCTCAGTTCGAAGATAACACTCATCTACTTCACGGGGTTGTTCACTCCAATGGCTTTGGCCACCTGCTTTTGGTTAATGGAAGGGAAGGTGGTTCCAGTGTTTTGACTGGTTCTGATATCATGAACTTTTGGGATAGGCTGTGCGAGACTTTGGCAGTAAGGTTTGTACTCTTCTTGATCTATATAATTTGTGTATTTTGCTTTGCTGCTACCGTATGAGCACTCTGTGACCTCAGTCTCCACTTAATCATGAACTTTATTGAACCTTAATATTGGTTGGAGAAAAGAGTGGCTAAGTAGTTAATGCGAGCCCGTATATAGCTTTACAAACTGGAAAAGAAAAAAAAACTGAAAAAAAAAAAAACATATACCATGCTTATTTTTGAAAAGAGATGGTGGTTCAGGAATCCAACAATGAATATAGCCAGTCCAACAATGAATATAGCCAAGGGTACGCACCTTGAACTTGCAAACACTGCACTGCCATCCATGCAAGTCTTGCTTTACAGCTAAATGGCAGAATAATTTGATACTGAACTATTGCGTTTGATATTTAAAGTATTTTTCTCAACTTTCATTGGTTTAATGAATCAGAACTGAAAGTTGTATTGTCTTAAGTAGCTTGTAAATTGTCCATTTCTGAAAACCTTACCAATAGCATACAAAGTTGATTATGCTTGTGCTTTCCAGAAGTTTTGAAGTGAAAATCACCATCCTTCGTGGCACTTGACGCCTCAGATTCATTTGGTGCACCACTAACCTGTTAGTAACATGCATAATTAGCTAAACAATCAGTAAAGAGTTTGGGTTTAACAAATAAATAACATGGTTAATTAACAGAGCACTTGAGGTCTTTAGTGGTGGCAGGACAAGCAAATTTTAGGTGAGATTTTTCACTTCTGGTTATGATTGGAAGCGTCTGACCGTTTTAACTTCATTTGCTTCATTTGCTGTATAGGAAGGTATCCGTCATGGATGTGTCAAGAAAATATGGGATGGAGTACCGATTGCTCAATGCAATCACCAAGGGTCATTCCTGGTATGGTGGTTGGGGTTATGAATTTGGATGTGGAAGCTTTGCAATAACATTGGATACTTACAAGAAAGCAGTGGAAAGCATATCAAGAGTGCCCTTAGCCCCCCTATTATTCCGGGAGCGAGGACCACAAACTAGGCTACAAGCTCTAATTTCATTTTACCGATCATTGTCAGACTCGGAGCTTGTTACTATAAAGGACCTTTTCACCTTTTTGTCTAGTCTGATCCATGAAAGCAACGAGTCATTAGCATCCATGGCAACACTCAAGAACTTAAAACCTGCTGCAAATATATTGTGTGCATGGACAAGGGATGATGTAGAACGTGTACAACAAGCAATGATCAAGATACTGGCTGCGGCATCTGGCAAGACCAATTGGGTTACAAGGCATACTCTTAAAGGTGTCATGTGTAAAACAGCATCTCCAGAGCTTCTTGATTACTGCCTTAAACACTTGGGAGGGAAGTTGGGAACTGGTGGCACAGTGGTTTGGGCACGATGCAATCCTAATTCCTTTGATATTGAATTCAGGTAGTTGATGCTAACACCAAACTGTTTCAGTTGTTTTTCACTCCAAATTTGCAAAATACATTACTCAATCTGTCATCTCTCTAATGTAACAGGCTAGAACCACTGAGTTTCAAACACAATGGAAATGGGCTTGACTCAAATCAGCCATCAAAAGAACACATCATAGGTGATCTGAAATTTTTATTTGATTCCTTGGTTCACCCTGAAACGATGGTAAACTATAGGCCTCTAGTGACTAGGGAAGATGTGATTGACTCAGCAACCAAGCTTCTCGACTGCAAACAATTCATTAAGAAATACTATAGACCAGATAAACGGATGGTTGATAACCCTTTTTCCATTCAGCTTTGGTGCTATGTAGAGTTTTCGGAGCATCTAAAAGAAGACCCAACTATACCGCCAGAGTTAATTGTCCTGCCTTCAAATGCCACTGTTGCTGACCTAAAAACTGAAGCCACCAAAGCTTTTCAACAAGTATATGCTATGCTTAAGAGATTCGAAGCTCGTGAATTGGTAGGCTATGGGCCTCTTGAGGATTCCATTACTATTAAGTTCCTGGTTGGACAACGTGGAACTGTCCGAATTAAAGGGACATGCCCGTCAAAATATGCACTTGGCCATTTCCGAATGGAGAAGGGACAGGAGAATTGGATAGTGGATTGCATGTGTGGAGCTAAGGATGATGATGGTGAGAGGATGTTAGCTTGTGATACCTGCGGTGTTTGGCAGCATACTAGGTGCTCTGGGATTGACAATTGTGATGAAATTCCTGAAAAGTTTGAGTGCATGAGATGTATCAGCTCATACCGCAATAAATCTGAGAGGCATCTAAAAGAATCTTTCAATCCAAAACATCTACAAGCAGGGATGGGGCTGGAACCGATGGTGTCAGTGTCAGATCTGGACCTATAACATTTATTGTACCTTAAGGTGTACATATTACTTGTAAATCCCATGTCCCGAGTATCTTTTTATGGGATTTTCTCAGAAAGCCTATTTAGGATTTCTCCTCTCTTTTGACAAATGTAGTTCTACAAGGATTATCAAAAGGAAAAAAAAAATGCGAGTTATTTCTTTTTGCAATTGAAGCATTGATGGCTATATGTATATATATCAAAAGCATTGGAGATTAAGGATATTAAAACACATTACTATTAACTGGAAAAGATTTCACTTACAAATTTATGCGCCTCTTTCTCTTAGATCATTTGCAGGTGTACCTCACGTTGCAATAAAATTTCATATCATGATGAGATGGTTCTGTTCTCGTTGCAGAGGGATGCCAAACGGCCCTGCAGAGGTGAGTGTACTTTGTAACTACATCTTTGTACAGACTCAGAAATCTTTCCACATCTTCAACTGTCAATTCACCAGGTTCAGCTTCCACGTATGGATAATTTGATCTGCCTGATGCAGCAAAGATGAATCAGATCAAATCAGATGGAAAGTTGCATCACTCCCTCAACCAAGAGGCCCTCAACGCATGAAAAATAGGAAATTAGCAAGTACTGAACTAACAAGTCAAAACCAATGCCAGTTGGAAAGTTAGTACGACTGACTAAAAAGTCTCCATGCAACGCATTCTTGTTGGGGGACCATGACCTGTCTGTGCTTGTAAAGCTTCTACTTGTGATACCTTGCCGCATCCTTTCTTCAAATTCAATTGCATCCAAAGAAAGAGATTTGGCATTGACTTAGCTGAAACAAGATTTGTGAAATAATAAGCTGATTCAAGAACACAGTTAACAAAATACTGGCATATATTTCCATTTGAGCATACCCTCACCACAGAATTGGACAACCGAGCAAAGCCAACATTTTGACAAAAGAAAAGTGAGAGGAAAGAAAGAGAGGAGAAGATATAGAGATTTGCATGCAGAGAAGTCCACCACTTGATCAGACGGGCACATTAAAATTCACCAGGTACTTGGTTCAAAACTGCACAATCACCTCACAGTCCCTCAAGGCCTCACAGAAATCAAAATGACATCATCTAGTGTTAGTGAGCATCAGTTGCAAAGCAATTATTTATTTGAAACTCAACCAGCAAAAGGAACTAATACAGTGTGCATTCATGCTCAATGACGCAGAATGCTTCAGGAATTTGATAAACAAACTATTTAACAACTATCCAAGCTAGCTAATTCCAGAATCTTGGGCTCTACAATAGTGAGATGCTAACTGGATAATTTTTGCAAATTACCTCCTTAGATGACTGAATAAGCCTCATTATGATCATAGACACATTTTTCCACCAGGATTTTTCTGAATAAACTCCCCATGTCAACTAAGGGCATTAATTTAACTGAAATCTTAAGTGCACATGTTGAGACAGGAGGCTAATTGAGAAATAATGTATTCAAAATGCTTCATTGCATTTCAGGAACTACGAGAATAATTCACGTTATTACTTTACAACAATAGTTTATCCTTATAGAAAAATGGCCTCTTCGACGTCTTATGTAAATGCCGGGGCCTGTGGCGGACATTTCATAACAAAAAAATCAGGATGCTGCTTTAAACTATGCCTAAAAGTCTTGATACTTTTAAGATACTTTTAATTTCCTTTACGCTGTTCTGTTTTGTAACTACAAAACAATCTTGGAACTAGCAAACACCACATTAGTTTTATCGCTAGTGTTGAAGAAATTGAACCCATGACAATGCAAGAATATGAATGTTGATTATGAATCAGAGAATTATTGCAGATTTATGCATTAAACTCATGGATGTCAGTATATAAGCTAGTAATTTCTGTCCATCCATCAATATAAGATATGCCACCATAAAAAAAGTAGTATTTTTCTACAAGTATTTAAATTAAAAACATATATACAAACAAAATATAACCAATTCTGTAAAAATCACAATTTCATAATATATTCGCCAATAGTTTGAGGTCATGCATTCTTTTCAAAAATTTGCAACCAATTAAAAGTTCAATTGAAAATTGTTAATTTTACTTATTCTTTAACAAACAGCAACATGCAGACAAAGATTCTGAATTTTAAGAATAGCAGAATCTCATATCTTCAGATTTTATTCAGAGGTTTACAGCTCCACCAATAAAATTTAACATGTAATTTATTTAACTTCATTTTTCTTTGTTTTATTTCCAGCATGTAATTGCTATTTCAGTGTGCAAATGGATACACCAGAGCCTATCTTATTATTATTGTTAGTTTTAACCAAATCATGATCTGACGATGCTATAACAGACCTACATATTGTCATTAAAAAAATATTTATGAATTTTAAAACAATAAGGGTAATTTGAAAATCTTTTATAATTTCTGGAAAAAATGTTTAACCAATTCTATGTAAATAGATCAGATTAGCATATCAGCGTAGGCTAGAAAAGATATTCAACCCTGTATCTTTATGTAAAATAATAACTTATTACCAAACATTCTCTGGTTTGGAGGCATGGGCTAATGTCACAAAAAAAAAGACAATAAAGACGTGGAAAAAAATAGAATGCCAAACAATGATTGCAGTATGCTTTTTAGTCATCCAAATTTCTATTGACACATCAAAACACAGAAACGATAGTCCAAAACAGGCAAACAACAATAGAAAGAGTTGCTTATTACCAAGGAGATCTTGCCTTGATTGTAACATGTATAAGAACAGGAAGAAAGTCATTAGGCCCTCCTACTACTTGATTTTCTCACATTGATGAATTGAGCAGCAAATTGTTGATGATCATGCAACAACTCATAATACAGAGAAGCTTCTCCCGAGGAGCTTTGAAAGCGTTGATCTTCTGCAATTCCTTTTCTGCAAGCTGGGGAAAGAAGGAACAAAAATGTTATGATTTAAGAGGAGCATGTATCACCACTGATGGAAGAAGGGAAAAATGCATTGGGATAAACATCAAAGTCATAAAACAAAACATTTACATTATGAACTCAACTGTGGGCTTTGCACTCATGCCAATTAACAATTTTCAAACTTCCACGATGAAGAGAAACTTCTCGAAACAATACATTCAACCCGGACTATTTAGAAAAAAAATTTACCAGTACAGCAGCAATAACAAAAACTGCTTGACTAGTCACAGAAGTTGCATATCTTAGCTCTATCTTAACATCACATTCATGAGATAACTTCCACACAGCAAATTGGCATTGCTCCTGCATGTTATATCCTCTTTTTTAATAATATCTATTAGGTAAAAAAAATAGAGTTGTAGGCGTCCAGTGAGATCAATGAAATGCCAACAAACTCTTTAATCTCTCCCACTAAACAAGGCCACATATAGCTATTCATTTCTCAGCATGATTTATTTGCTCTTTACTAAATGCAACAATATTGTCCAAACAAAACAAAATCATCAAATGTAACAATATTATCCAAAGTAGACTTTCTGTGAGACTTAAGATAAAACATTCGGCCCAAAGAAGACCCCCCTGGTGATGAAATGAAGAAGATATGGAAGCTTAGAATATCATTTGCTACTAGTAAAGTATCCTTAACAGTGTTTTAGGCGAAGTGATAAGTTGAATTTGAGACATAAGGTCTTAAAACTAGTTTGGTTCCGAAGGTTGTTCCATTTTTCACAATAAAAAACTAAAGTAAAGAGATATCTGGAACTTTTTGCACTGCAAATTCAAGTACAACAAAATTTCTAGCAATCTGTCTCAGCCCATGGACAGACAATATCAACGCATTAGATGGGAATAGCTTTGTTAAAGAAATGAGTAGTGAGAAAATATGTATTAACTATTAATGTTGAATTTATGTGTTTATATGGAAGCAAGTACAATGCAAAGTTCAGCCCAAGAGTAACATGTCAGGCTGAGAAAGAAGAATATAAAAGCAGTCAATATAAAACTAACTGCAGCATGGCCTCAGAAGTATCATCAGTCAAAAAGCTTCTTACTTTATGGCATCATGCTGTGCACCAAGAATCAGATTACTGACAGTTAATGGAAGTAAATCAAGCAGTTTTGCATCAATATGAATGTGATAACATATCCTAACAGTCAAAATAGGCTAGCATGCATACCAGCCATGAAGCTTCATTCTGAAGAAATGCAGGAATATCCAAATGCTCAGATCACAAAAAGGATTGCAAAAAGTGTATCTTCTCTGAGATCTCTTGGTCAATCTCCAAATCCTCAGGAGTAGTAGCAAATGTTCAGGAGAACAATTTTTTCATGACATATTTCTCCAATCCCTGTGTTATATATATGCAAGAGATGACCAACAAGCGAAATAAATTGCATGCATTTGAAACTCAAAATAAAACAATCTGTTAACATATTCTGCGGAGCGCAACACAAAGCTACAAAGATTTACAGAAGACGCAAAAACTTAGAAGTAAAATAACAGACAGCATTCCAATACTTTGGGAACTGTTACATTATAATATGCATGTACATTAAAAACATAATGCATAAGTAGAAGATATGAGATATAAAATAATAGGTATATCTATCTATCTATCTATCTATCTATCTATCTATCTATCTATCTATCTATCTATCTATCTATCTATCTATCTATCTATCTATCTATCTATCTATCTATATACACTAAAAGCTAGTAGACATCATATCAAGTTTTCATCTAATGTCAGAGTCAGATGCTACAAGCCATGATGACCTTGATGAACTTAAGTTGGCTTAGAGCTTCAAGCAGCCAGGGTACACAATCCATCATACTTACTAGCAGATGGCAAGGGTGCTTCAAACAGCTAAGTTTGCCAAATAATAAAGTTGTATGCTTGAATCTGTGGAAGCTTGGGAGGGCAAACAACAGAAAGATATAGGAAGGAAAGGGTGTTATTCTCATCAACACTTGTTTGGCGCAAAATAAGAAATGGAACTCAGAAAAGGAGGGAAAAAGTAGTCAAGGGAAAACTCATGGAAGTATCTTTTCCTCCCAGTTTCCATCCACTTCTGGTTCAAATAATTCTACTTCTTTCAAAGGAAATTTATGCATTCCATATCCTACCACTTCCTTTCTCCCAAGTCCCAAACCATGTTTTCTATCATATCTTTGAACTAAAACAATTAAAATACCATTCCAAGTAAAACATATGCATAGGAATTGTAAGAAATTCATTGAGGAATCAAATTCATCATCAGGGGCACCTGCTCATAACGGATGTTCAATGATAGCTGCTTCCATTGTCCAGAGAAACTCTTGTACTTTTTGCTATTGTTTTCAAGGCTGGCAGATGAAAATAGGAATGATACAATGAAGCTGAAACAGATTAAATCTCCTTCATTTAAACCTCTAACCATCTCAAGAACTTCCAAAAAAAAAACCCTCCTATAAAAAATGTTAACTGCAAAAACAACTTTTAAAAAAAGAAAAAGAAAAACACCAAAATTCGTTCAAGAACCAAAACCATATTAAGAAATAAGATAAAGAAAAAATCGCATCTTTTCTTTAAATTTGCAGCAACCAAATACAGAACAAGGCATGGGAATAACATAACATAGTTAAAAAGAAAGTTGTTAACTGCTAAGATCAATTTAAAAAAAAATAAAAATAAATTCGGTACAAATTGCTATATAAGAAAGAGAACACCATCAAAATCCGATTCGTACAAGATACAAACATCAATAAGCCTAATAAAAAAAATCAATTCTGATTCCCTTAAAAATATATAATCTCGCAAAATTTATAGTCCCCATATATATATATATATATATATATATATATAATAGAAGGCAGAATTGGCGATCACAATTCAATTAAAAAATAATAAACCCTAGCAATACAATTCTATTAAACACAATCAAATTACTTGAAAATGAGAAGAAGAAAGAAACCTTTTAATAGACTTGACAGGATTGAATGAAGCAGGGTTTCGCATTTTATAAAGAAAATCATAAAACATAATTGATGGAGACGATGGTGATGGACTCGCTGCAGTGTACATTGGATCAATTGTCAATCAATACAGCTCCTTTTAGAATTAACGGCTAAGATAATGATGATCGATGATCTATCCTCTTCTCCTTCTCTCCCTATAACAAAAATTTTAATTAAAAGGTGAATTGTGAAAGAAGCAAAGTTAATAAAAAAAAGGGAGCGAGGGTTTGTAAGGAAACCTATCTTCTTCAAGCAACAAATCCAGGAGAGAGAGATATTGGCTGTGCAGAAAGAGAAGACTGCCAGCTAGGTTTCGTCACATCGCATTCACACAATGTCTTGATTTTTGTTTTATCGTTAAAGGAAACGGTTGAAAGGCGGGTTGAAGAGCAGTTTTACAGGGTTTTTTTTTTTTTTTTTTTTTTCTATGATCTCTTTTTCAGTCCTTCCTTTCTTCTCAACCCCAATTTTATTTATTTTATTTCTTGATTCTTACATTGATAAAAGGGGACATGTTCAATTCCGCTAGTATTTCCTTGGGCTAGAAATCTTTGTGATGAATCTATAAGGATCACATGGGCTTTCTCTGTGGATAAGGAGGTTGGATGGTGAATCTAAATTGTACACAAACACTTGTTCGAACACTCGTGAAGTCCATTACAATATGATTATTTTGAAAATTTTATATATTTTTTATTTAGAGAGATCATTTTAAAAACTTTTGGAGTGTGCTTTCTAGCTTTTATTATTTTATCCAAAATAAAACAAAATCAAAAACAAAATAAAGACTGGCATTTCAGCAAAAGTAAGCTGGGAGGATTTCACATGTAGAAAAAAATCAAGCTACAATTTTTGATGATATCGAAAGCCTAATTGTACCATATTTTACCCAAAACTAGAGAGATAAAGCAAATTCAAGGTCAAGTTACATTATTATTGGATGAATCTGCATATAAATTAAGTCTAAGGACCATTTCAAAAAAGGTGTTGAACTATAGGAACTCAATTGATTGAAATCAAGGGTAAAATTACAAGAAAATCAAAGTTTTGGAGTCAATTAAAAAATATATTAAAAAAATTCATAGTTCATGATCATTTTGCAAAAGATGTCAAACTATAGATGCTCAATTGATAGAAATCAGGGGTGAAAGTGAAAGTTTAATGATAACTGAGGGTTAATTTGTATAAATCCAAAACCAATAACTAATATGAAAAAGGTGCTAGAATTCTAGGCTGGTATTGAAGTTTGACAAGGGCAAAATTGCACAAAATTAAAAATTTGAAGTCAATCAGGGGTATAATTGAGAGAAATCATCAACCAAAAGACTAGATTGAACTTTACCAAAATAACTCTGTTTTGGTTACTATTTATTTTTTTCTTTTTTTTAGCCTGAAAAGACTACTTAGGGGGTTACTTTTCAAAGGCACTTAATCCTTCATCCCTCAATCAAATTTGACAAAATTTGCTTGAAAATGACAGCCTGACATTTGACTACACTCTAGTATGGTTCTTTCTAGCTAATTGACATCACAACAATCATGGTGTCAACCCAAATTTGATAGTTTATGATAGTCATTTTGAGTCAACGATTGAGATTTTTCCCGTTCGAATCAAGAGCCAAAATTTACCCCCAAAAGAGACAAAGTATCCCTATTATATTCCTTATAAATAAGGGTCGATTCCATACCTCAAGCGAGCAGAATCAGAGGTCAAACTTGAAAGAAAAAAAAATAGCCTCCCCTTTAGTTTATCTGTCATTATCGTTTTTTTTCTCTTTTTTGCTATAACAAGCTTGGCCTCTATAGCAACCAACCACCTCATCGTTGGCTTTTCCATCAACAACTCCACAATGAGTTGCCAACACAACCACCAGCCGACAACCTTCAAATAAGGAATAACAACTTCAGATTTTTTGTTCTTTTCACCGTATACCTTTCTTCCACTATAACCACCTCCAATAACCAACACTAGCCACTGACTTTACCACCTCAAACTACACCATGCGCCACCAGCAGGATCACTAGTCATGACCCTTTATTCTAGGTGAAACTCTTCTCCCCCCACCATAGGAGCAGACGTTATATATAGAACGAGAATTTGTTCTGCATACAGAAGACAAATTATTTAACATAGTTGCTAGGCCGAGTCAACAACCATATGGCCTATGGGCGAGACCTGTCTTAGCCCAGACTATATGTCTAGGTTGAGCTTGGCCCATAAAAAAAGCTTGTTATGCCGCTAGATGACCTAACCTAACTGAATCAAGTTGGACTAGTTTCGGCCCAGCCCAATATATTTTATAATAATATTATTATAATACTAATATATATGAAAATGTAAAAAAAAAATTCTTCCAAAATTTTTTAAAAATTAAAAATTAAAAAATTATATTAATTTTCTATTAATTGTTTTTTTTGTTTTCATATATATGGCCAAATCCTAAAATTTTTGCAAGCATATTTCCATATAAAAAAAGCATCTTTCTTGTGTTTTAAAATACAAAAATGAATGTCATAAATAGTTTATAATTATCCTTTAGGATTTGACCAAAATATTAAAGATCTTTCACCCATCATGTTATTCATTTTATATTTAAAGTGTAAAGGTTTAATTATAAACTTTAATAATTAAAAGTATAAAACTACACGATAAAGCCTACTATAAAATAGCATAAAACATGGTTCATTGATCTCATAAAAGTACTATATACATTAGTAAGTCTAAAAGGCATAATTAACTACTTATACAAATCATATTTTATTTCAAAGGTGGTTTTCTATTCATCTCCCTTTTCCATTCTTATTTGATGATAACTACTTTTCAAATCAATCTTTGAAAACATATAAAACCTATTATAATTTATCTAAAACATCATCATGTCTAGGAATTGGATGTATATACTTTATCATAATATTGTTGATGACATGACATTCAACACATATTCTAAAAGTTTAATTTTTAATATTTTTGGTGTTTAGATACAGAGTTATCTCTGGATCAAGGTTTATCTAACACAAACTTGATTTTGGCTTTTCAAGTTTATCATCTACTTCAATGTGGATTTCTGGATTTTTATATTTATGGGTTTCACATCAATACAAGATAGGCTTTTTTGTTCTTTAGTTAGAACCCTTATATGGTTGTCTCTTTTTCTTGGTATTAATGTTTCCTTAAAATACATGTCATAATTTTAAATTTTAAATTTTAAATCTAAATCGAAGAACCCAAATTGATTTAAGGTGACAAATCTTATAATAACCCAAAACAAAGCCAAATAACAATGGAAGAGACTCATTTTAAGAGTTAATGAACTAACTTTCTAATTTTAACGAATAACTTATTCTTATAGCCTCTTTAAATTTGTCATTTTTTTCATCTTTTTTTTTTTTTTACTTTAGCAGACAAGATAGAATTAATAATGCCTTTTTTTTCAAGATCAAAATAAATATTAATTGGATAACAAAGACAAAGAGGAAACAATACAAAATGGAATAAACTTAACTGAAATCAAGATGGATAGAAACAAATAGATTTGACATGAAAATAAAACCTAAACAAAAATAATTAAAAAGGGATATAACCTAATTTATAGAGTCAAGCTTTGTTACCAACTGATACAACATCGTGGATATAAAGATCCATAAATCCACAAATAAGATTAACACAATCCTAGAAAGCAAAAAATCAAATCAGATTTGGTAGAAAAATGTGTCATAATAATTACCTTGAACCATGACACCAACACCCACCTAATGATTAGTGATTTAAAAGCCATAAATATAATAAAGATACCACAAAGATATATATTTTTTGATGAAATTATATTCAATTCTTTCGATACTTGAAAAACATGAGTATCCCCGAACATACAAACACAAGATTACGAAAAAAATAACAATAGTCATTCCACAAAAAATAGCTTTTACAAAGGAGTATTTATAAATAAGTGTGACCCTTATACCAAAGTTGTCGCATGTATAGGAATAAAAGAACCTAAGATAGTAGATAATACTTTGACTTAAATAGTCTCATATCTAAAATTATATCCTAGAGAGGTAGTATAAAAATTTCTACCCCTTAGAAATCCTATATAAGCTAGGGGAATTAGATAAGAAATTGTCACCCCTTTGTTGCCTTTATTCGTTAGGATTGTAGCTTTAAGTAATCATCTTCAAGTAAGGTTATTGTTCGCATTAATCCTTTTTGTATGTGTAGAAAACTCCAAAATAAATTGTTAAATTTCATTTCATCATTAGAAAAGGAATCTTTTCCAAATAAAAAAAGTCAAAAGTTATAGGACAACAAATAATAAAACTCGTACACTATCTTTTGACCTATATTGTGATGTCTTTTTAAATTTAGATTAACTTGAAATCTTAACCCACCATAAAACAATACGTTTGAAAACTTCTAGTAAAATCTTATCTTTATCTAAATATCGGATTGAAAGTTATACTCATTAACATTAAACTAAATAGTAAAAAATGTTATGTCAAAGTCCGAATTTAATTGATAAACTCTTGCATAGATCATATCACTTGGCTGGTGGACCCAGCACCACTTGGCCTTTCTTCTAAAAAATAAAATTTGACTAATCTTTCTATTTAAATCATAATTAATTCTCTCTCTTATTTTTTTTTATTGTGTATTAAATATTTTTATATGGATTTTCAACAATACCATATCTTTTATTGTTTGAATTATTTAGTTCCTTTAAAAAATTAGGAAGTGACCTTTTCAATTTCATAATAATTTAAAAAGATTATTGCAACTTATCTATGAATTTTATCCTTTAAAAATTTATAAAAATAAGAATTGTTTGTTGACACGACAAAAAGATTGTTGTCTTCTCCCAAGTGCAGGAGTGTCAAAGTAATAAATAACCCGGCAAGACCGGGGTCGAATCACGAGGAGGTTAATTGTACAAATTATAAACAACAACAATAGCAATAACAACAATAGTAACAATAACAACAACAATAATAATAGTAGCAA